GGAGACGTTCCAAATGTTCCATCTATTTTGGCATCGTATGATTGTGGCCGACGGCCGTCTTTGGACTGATCCTTCGAAGGGTCAAGAAGGTCTTCACTCAGACCGACACTCCAGCCATGACCACACTTTTTGCAAACATCGACATGTCCGGCCATGTCCTGCCATGTCTTGCCAACCCCACAAAAACGCCCGACACGTTCGCTCGACACCTCCGCGCCTTTTCGGCCTCCGGTGGTGTGACTGGACGCGGTTCATGGCCTATGAGGCGTCGTGGCAACGAGTTCGTCGCCGCGGCGAGTTCCTCGCGGTGGCTTTTTCTGCACTGTGTGTCCCCTCGGAGCCACAAGCCACTGGGATTGGCCGTGTCAGGCTTCATGCACTGCTGGGTTGGAGCGAGTGGGTCCGCCCAACTTTGAAAGTGGTCCTTCTTTCGCGCGGTCGGCCTTGTCCGCCTTGTCCTTTGCGAAACACTTGGCCCGGCAACAGACCTCAATGCTCATCAATTTACCACGACTTCAGGAGCCCCGTTCGTAGCGTCCGATCGCTCCTAGTAGTACGGCCAGGAGCCCCTAGTAGCTTCTTGTTCCTAGTAGCGATGCCAGGAGCCAGCACCAAACGCCAGCTTGCAGGTAAGAATTCCATGCAGACAGGTGCCAGAAACTCCAAATCTGCCAAGGGGCTGCACCTCTCTGGCAGGTCCTGGACAGCATGAGGTGTTGTGAAGCAGTCCAAAGTATAATATGATATGTGTGTTCCAAATAAAGAGAGAAGAATGGTGACTGTGGAACTTCGCATGTCGACCAATTCACGACGAGTGTCTTCTGGCCCTGAACTTCGGACTTGGGACCGTGCTTCAAACCCCATGACCTCCCACCAGTGCCGGTCCGCAAAAGCACCCCTGCGGATCTCGCCGGGAGGCAAGGGCTGGGACCTCGGAGCGAAGGAGCGGCGAGCGGGATCCGGGCGAGCGGAACGTACGGGATCCGGGCGCGTTCGGAACGTCTGGGAGAGTGAGAACCCCCTCAGCCGTCGGTGTCGAAGACCACGATAGCAAGAACAGCAGCAATAACGATAGCTGATATGAGAAGGAACAAGACGACATGTCCGACATGTCTTGGGAACTTTTAAAGTAAAACCTGGAGAAGGATCAAAAAGGCATATGTCTGCAACCGGTCTTTACAAGCGCGCTGAGGCGCCCAACAAAAGGGTTTTACGGTGTTGTTGGACATGTCACCGTAGGGTGGGCCCACAAAAGCTGTGCGAGGCTAGAATGGTGTCATGTTTGCTCAAAAGACGGTTTCATTAAGGGATTGACCCTGTTCAGGAAAATACACATCACCCTATGCAAAGCCTCTTTTTCGAACAGTGGTGACAGTGGTGACCGACAGGTGTGAGGAAGTTTTCACATGTTTGAACCACAATCAAGGCGGCACTGGCGGAAATTCCGGTCCAACGAGAGTGGGCCAAGCACTCTGACTCACTAAGATGGCGTGGATGGCATCGTTGGTGTATCCATGGCTTTTTCGACAAACACTCTGCCAGTACATACTTAGGGGATGTGTTTCTCCACGTGTTACAGGTGAGACTTGGGTTTCTAGTAGTAATGCATAGTAATGCCCTTGTTACTAGTAGCGATGCCCTTGTTACTACAGTAGTAGCCTAGTCGCGATGGTGCGTCAGAAGGACCACCGCTTAGCTCCCCAACGGCCACAAGAGATCCATCTGTGGCACGGTCACTTGTGAACGACCTGAAGAGCCGAAGCGGCCCACGTGGCCACTGTTGGGATAGCTTGGGCTGTTGGGATAGGGGCGGGGGAAACAACCAAGCGGTCGACGGATTTGTCGACGTGTCGCTTTGGTCCAAGTGGTCAAAGCGAAGACGAGGAATCGCGGCGCGACGAAGGACGGGGACCACGGGGATGTTCTTCACGTCATGGCAAATCTCTCGTTTGGGTTCGCTCGAGGCGAGGCGATCGGAGCGTTCGGACGCGATGCCAGGCCATCGGGACGAACCACGGAGCGAGGAGAAACGCGACGAACGGGGCGCTTCTGGCCTTACTAAGGAACAAGAAGCCACTAGTAACAAGTGCATCGCTACTAAGAGCAAGGACGCTACTAGGGGCTCCTGGCCTTACTAGTAGTAACAAGAAGCTACTAGTAGGGGCTCCTGAGAAGCTACTAGGGGTCCGAGGATTCTCAGGACCCCTTGAGGCCCACCGTCCCGACGCGTCCCTTCCTGACGAAGCCCTTCCCAGCCGAAGTCGCCTGAGTCCTCCGATGAGCTCGAGCCGGTGTCGGTCGTCTCAACTTCGATGCGTTGCGCCTGCTGCGCCTGCTGCGCCTGCGGGTGCGCAGTGCCAAGAAGGTCAGTCTTCAGGGTCCGGACCACCCAAGGTCGCAAAGCCACAACTAAGCAGAGTCACACCTTTCAGTGATGCTCCGGATTTGTCTTGGGAGTCTCTCCCTCTCTCTCATTCCACAGTTCACAAACTGAGCATGCTGTGGAATGCAAGAAATAACTTGTCTTCCACACCTTGGAACCCACAAACTGCCAGTGTCCCCCGTCACCTTGAGCGCTCGTTTGGACTGGCCATGACGGCGGTTCGCCTGATTGCGAACCAGGGCGGGTGAACCAGAGGTGTAGGGGTGGGTTCCCCATCAGGACCGGAAAAGAAGGGATGTCCTGTCATGTCTGGATCGATCCATAAGTAAGGGATGTGTAGGGATGTGTAGGGTACTTTTGCTTGGAGGCCCCAAAAACGAAGGTGCTGGCAGGTGAGTCTTCTGTTCATGTTCACAGACCTGTGGATGCGAAGAATGTTTTTGGTTTGCTCTGCACTCAAAGACGGTTGGTCAAACTTTGCAGTCTCGCGCAAAAAAGGCCATGAATTTGTCTAATGTGAACACCATTCACTTTCAACAGCAGTAATTTATGGTAATTGCATGTAATTGCCACTATCTGGAGTCAACACCAGCTTGCCATGCGTTAAGTCCCGATGCTTTCGATCCAAACGTCAAGTCGACGGCGATGGATCGCCGGCGATCCCAGACTTGGGCGCTTCGATCCAGCATCACGAAGCGAAGCCCCAAAGCATTCCTACTATATAAATGGGCCTACTCCATGTCAGCCTTCCAGGTGCTGAAGAATTGACAAGACTGAGAGAAGACTGAGAGAAGACTGAGAGAACTGGAAAATCTCGTGGGAAGAACATGGAAGAACGCTCAGACTGACACTTACCAATCGATCAACTGACCCGTTCCGAAGTACACTTCAACTTCCCCAAACCACCCAAGCCCTCAGCCTGTGCTTTCGAAAGGTCTGACCAGTTGCAGGTCAAACAGGAAACAACCAAAACCCTCTTTCAGGGCACCATTTGACCAGGGTCCACGTTAGTTTTCAGATGCTTTCAGGAGATTTCAGTCAAGTCCTGTGTTTTCGCTGGCTGCGGTTCTGCAACATCTTCACATGTCTTCACTACATGTCGGCAACAGACTCGGGGTCTGCCACGCCTGATTCGCTTGCTTTCCACTCATAGCTTCGCCTGATTCAGGCTGTGGGATCATCAATTGTGGTCAGCAAAAGCACGGCACGGCACAAATAGATCTTTCTCCCACTTCATCATCCTTTTTGATACCCAAGTTCTTTAGATCAGACCCAGGGATTTAGAGTTCTCTCAGTGGCAGTTTGGAAGCCATTGGAGATGGACATCACTGATTTCCTAGTCTTCTCTTTTGGTCACACACACACAGAGGTATGTCCATTGATCAGGCAAGTCCATCCAACCGTTACCTGGACTGTTTTCAATCCTACTGTAGCTGCATGAGATGTCACGTCATGGAGAAATGCAGTAGTACTGGACACTTGGAAGCTACAAAAAATGGTTGCTTCTTGGATGCTCCAAAGGAAAACTCCATATTGACCGGCATCCAGCGTGAGAAGCGCCATGATCTAGGATCTCAAGGCGACACCGTTCGGGGGCATTGGACCACAACCCACCCTCGCCTCGCTCCGACACGTACTCTCCAGCTCTCGCCGGGCTCCCTATTCTGTGAGCCAAACTGTCCAGCCGAGTCGGTTGGTCATTGCCCAGCCATGAAGTAAGGCAAGTTAAGTTGCGTGGACTGCGGCACGGAAGGCCCGGGTGGACTCGTCTTTTTTGGGGAGTGGTGGGCGTTAAAGGCCTTCAAGTATGACATGAGCGTACAGACCGTATAGATGAGGCTTTGTGCAAGAATCTGATGGCCACGCAGAACGAAGTGCCTGTTTATTATTGTATAAGCTAAAGGCTGATGTTCAGTTGATACTAGTCACTATATAGTCGATGGCAACTCTTCTTTGGACCCACAATACAGTGACATACAATGAAGGCCTACATTGATCTCCAGTACTCACGCTGTTTGCAAAGATTAGAGACGGTGTTTAGGGATGTTTGCCGCTGGTTTGGAGGTACCTTCAAGAGAATGTAGCGGAGGAAAGGGACCTACATCAACTTAAAGGTACCTAATCTATCAACATCAACTTTTTGTACAGTAGGGTAGGGTTGCTACATGTTGCCCCTATCGTCACTATCTGTCTGGGCACCCAACTACAAACGCCGCATCATATGTCATCACCGAACTAGTGACCACAGTGTGACATGGAGTCCTTTTTTCTTCAGGGACCACGTTTGGGTGTTTAAAGCCTGGGTCTGAGGTCACCATCTGATACAGGATACAGCAGAAAAAGAAGAGGTGCCTGAAAGTATCAGCTGGTGCTAGTTTGGCCTGTTTCAAAAGACCGAATCCTCTGATGGCCGAATCGACGCGGAGGGTTTTTGTGGCTAAACAAACCAACACCTCATGCGCGCCCCTCGGGGCGCCCAAACCGACGGATTCCGAGAAAGTGACGCACCGAGGGAGACGAACCACCAAGTGCTTCAGACCCGGCCGAACGAGGCCGAACGGCCGAACGGCCCGGGCGGGAGGTGGGGGATCCCGAGCACCCCGAGCCATCGCAGCACCTCCAGGCGAGCCATGGCGAGGCCTTCTTTGGTGCCCAACCTTGGTCTGTTGGGTGCGCGGTTTGGCGCGCAGGGAAGGATTCGGTGTCCCGGCTTCAAAGCCTGTTCTGTTCGACATGTGGCGTGATTCGGTGTGAATTCTTCAAGATGACCCAGACTCAAGAATCTCAGATGGAGGCCACTTAAGCCGTACATAGGGTCACTGGAACCCTCCAGTTCGGTCACTTGGAAGAGCCAAAGCACTTCTCCAGCTGCGCCAAGGCCTCCTCCACTTCTGGCACCTTCAGATCAGCAACTCCCGGTGGTTTGAAGTGTTCCTGTCCTCCCTTCTCCACCAGCCAGGGTACAGCCCAGGATAGGTCGAAAGCACATTCCCATGTATGAAGTGCAGTTACCGTCCTCCCTGGACCTTTACCTATCATGAAGACATGTGCCTTAAGAACCATGTCACTCCCCATGTAGTTTGGCAGCTAAGCAGCCTACTTTTTCCAAGTTTGTGACCACCTACATGGCCTTGCCTTGGGTACCTGCCTAAAGGCTCCCGCTGCGCTGGCGGTCGCTGACTGTTGGAATCCGATGTGAAAACCGCGGGACTGGATGTATCCTCATCTGGTGGTGAACACGCCTCCCCGTGATGGAACACCATCCTCTACCATGCTCTCCGGAGGGAAAACACCCCCCAACACAAAAACAATGGTTGTTTCACCAACTTTCGCGCAGAGTCCAGAATTCACTGGCCTAGCCGTGAGACACCATTTACCTGTTCGCCACGGAATCCAAAGAGAAGGGACATGGCAGTCTTAGAGTCTGTCGTCGTCTTCGTTCACAACAAATATACCAAGTTCGCCCGGCCTCAGGAGCGGTCCTTCCGGACTTCGAAGAAAACCGGTTTTCCGTGTTGGGCAAAGAACCAGGAAGGCCCCCAAACGTCCGGACGACTCGATGTGCCGAACCCAAACGTCCGTAGACGTGATGTGCCCGGTCATCCTACCACCTTTACCACCACGACCTTTTTTGGACGCGCCGGGTCTCGATGTGTTCAGTGAGTGTTCAGTGGACGGAAATCGCTGCGAAAAAAAAGCAGGTGTGTAGACCATGGCCAGCGGCTAGCAGGTGTGTAGACCATAATTCAAGAATTCCAAATGACGCATTTGGAATATATAAATATACTGTAAATATAGTTCCAATGACTCAGCAAGAGAAATCAGAACTTCCAAGGACTGACCCTTGGGCTGATGATCTCCAGGTGATCTCCCATCATTCCCACCTGCAGCTTGTCGCCCTGCCCAAGCTTAGCATTGGCCATGTCCAGGGTGGCCCAAGCTACAGCCGACCTGACTCGTCCGCGACGTTGTGCGAAGGTGTGAGAAAGTGGAGGAAAAAAACCCACACACACAAGTCTTTCCAACCGAATAGCAATGGCCTTCAACCTAATAGCGATGGCCTCCGACTCGACCCCCGCCAGATCCGAATTGGAAGATGGTGGCGAACGGTGAATGTCCGTGGTCTCGGCAGCAGATTCTGGGAGGAGTGGCAGCTTGGACGTTGTGGCTCAGTGGAGAATCCAAAAACCGCTTTCTTTGTGGAATGCTGCAAGGATTGACACCACATGGCAAGTTGTGGCCGATTTTCGCGAGAACCTGCGAATGCTTGGTGCTGACACCAGTGTGCTTCGCAGAAGTTTCATCAGGAGCGAAGCCGCTCAATACTTTCTCTCTTGGTCGCTCCGAAAACAGAAAGCATCGCTCCGCAACATCAAACGAGCATGAAGAAAGGCAGCTTTCTGCTTGCGAACCCAAACAACCTTTATCCACACTGGGAGCCTAGGGAGCGCCAAGCCTAGGCCGGTCAGAGACTCCGGAATCCATGCACCAACCAAACAGGCCGAGTCAAACCAAGTAGATAACATTAAGACCTTCACGTCACATCACCTATTCAAGTCTCAATGATGCCGTTTGTAGAAACTCAAATCATTGGAGAGTTATATGGCTGCCCAAATCGAGGGACCTTGGTGTTTCCCACCGCAAGCTGAACAGAAGAGACTACCAAGGATGTAAACCTGCGATGGTTTGGTGGGAGGAGTTTTGACCCACTGCCATATGAGTTCTCCCGACCTCTTGGGGATGAGAGGATCTCAGGAAACGGCCGACCCAAACCATTGAGTTGGTCCAATCCTCATTTATATAAAGGGGCTAGCACGTTCCAACTCCACAAGATTTGAAGGAAAAGGCTGATGGCTTTGCACATCACCGTGAAGAACCAGCTTCTCCATGTCCAGTCTTTCAGGTTCAACACTTTTTCCTCCGCGCGACCTTCATGTGATGAAACTGGCATGGACCCATAAAGCGTTCAACAAGGTCTAAGCTCGCTCTGGGAGAACAACTGCATTCGACAAGTTGTTGCACCCCATCTTCCCATCCACACGACCATCCTGGGAGGATGCTCGAGATCTTTTTGTAGAAAGAGCTGGACCTGTGCTTTCCACCGGTCCGGAAAAAGACCTGTTGACTTCTTCTCCGCGCCTCTGCCCACCTTTTGAGGCCGCGCTCAAACGGTCATGGATATCCTGAACGAAGTGCTTCGAAGCCGAGGGTTCTGAAGGTCTGTTTTCTTGATGCGGAGCGCTGTCGGATTGAAAAAAGAAACAAGAAGGACTCTGGACGTTTGTTGGATTTGATCGGGAATATGGGGGATTCTTGACCCTCAAGGTTCATATAGCTTCGCAGGCCCACATCAAGGAATATCTTCACATTCAATTCCTACAGTCCCAAATCCAAGATTATTCCCTTTGATTGCCCTGTTGCCAATGCCTAATTCTTGCCACAGTCCCAAGTCAAGGAAAGTCTTCTGCTTCCCTTTCGCTTCTCTGCCACTGTTTATTTCAAAGTTTCCTTCCACATTCCCACAGTGTTACAAGAAGTTTTTCTGATTCGCTTACCCGACCCTGCCTCTTTCATCAATTCTCAATTCTTATTTCACAAAAAAGACTTGGCCCATATGCAGCAAATCTGGAACAACTGTTTGTGGTGGTTTATCTTTGTTCGGTATTGTCACAGGTGGACACTTAAACAGAACCAAAAAAGGGGTGAACCCTCTGTTGAATTCGTTCCTCTTCTTTGAATTCACCTTCAACATCTCTGTGCAAACACATGTTTTCCTGTGATCACCTGCAGTGTTTTCACCCCCCGCGCGCACAAACATCTCGGCCGCGTCGCCTTTCGATCCGTTGGTCAACCGGTCGCGTCCTGAAGGTCCTCCATGGTGCTCAGGCCCTCAAACCTGGGCCGCGGAGGATGGACGAAAACCGAGGTGAAAAACTCCATGGACCTGGGCCGAGTGATCTGATGCTTGCAGGTGCATATAATTGCATATACTATGAGAGGCTAAAGGCAGAGATTCTTTTAATTTTCTGTTCATGTCTTTTTCTGGGTTTACATGCGGCCAGCAAGCCTACAGTAGCCCACAAATCAAAAATATTATTGCGGAGCTTCTGGCTTCCCTAATCGCTGTTTTCTCGCTTCCCTACTCGCACATCCGGAGCCGGCCACACAAATCGTTGGGCACGACTGCCCCATGTGTACTAGCAGCGTCAGGTCCCCCACAAGTGCATAGATATTTTTCTAGTCTTGACCCACTTCTATCAAGCACACTCTGAACCAAACGTCCCAGTTTGTACCCACGAGTGATGGGCCACGTAGCCGCGCCTCCGCAGACCAGAGTCCACGTAGCCGACGTCTGTGGCGGCAATCCGCACACCGTGCTTCTGTGCGATCTGCAAAAAGTCCTCCACGGCCTAGGGGAGAAGACATGAGACATGGCGATGTCTTCGCGATGTGGAACTGCTGCATTCTGGCTGATTTGGGCTGCAGAACTCCAGTCTGGCATGAGAAATGGACAACAAATTACTCAACGATCCTTCTTCCAGCATAGTTGCTCCTTCTAGAAATGTTCAGAGTGAATCTCTGGAATTTGAGCTGTTGTACATTCTTCTACTGCATGCACTATAAATTAATGCACACCGATCAACGGATGATTTCCAAGCTGAGCTGTCAGCCTGCAGGCCCGGGCTGCCCTGAGCACATGAGCGGCTAGAGAGCCCCACCGCCGTGAGTATCGACACCACGACAGTTCAATGGCGAACCATATCGCCAGCGGGTGCTTCAAAATCAGCGAATTGGTGTGATTGGTATGGACATGCGACCAACCACCTGCTTGTCCTCAATGTTAAAACAACCACCCCAAATATGATCCTTTCCCTATCAATACACGCGTCATATCTGGGTTCTAGGTCTGGAAATGGTCGTTGCCCAGATTCCTGTGACCAGATCGCCAGGCCACACGGGATGCGCCTTGGAGAGAGCCCCCAGTGACAACGTCAGCTGGGCAAAGGCTTCCTGCCACCTGGAGAAGCTTTCGGAAGTGGCAGGGGCTCACCAACGTGCCCAAAACGACGTAGCTTGACCTGACATTTGTGGGGGAGTTGCATACTGCTCGTTTATCAGGGTCAACCAGGGTGCATTTGGATTGAGGTAGAGAAAAATCTCCGCGCCGCATTGTTCAGGCCATGGCTTATGCCGGTTTGGTGGAACCCAATCTCCAGAAGAAACTCGGACAGCCGGACTTGTTGGAATGGTTGTCCTTTTACACCGCCCACGGGGGTGAAACCACCGCACGGCTCCGTGCCATTCGACTGCCTGCGTTGCTTCTGCCTGGCGATCTCCAGCAGACTTCGAGCCTTGGCAGGGTCCTGATGAGGCGAAGGGTATGGAAATTCAGCAGAAGTTGACATCCCTCAGGTGTTCCATTGACCAACAAGTCAGCGAGTCTCACGAAGTAAACTGGATGCTACCTTATCATTCGGCCCACATTTCGGCATCCGTGGTGCTTGCGCCAATCAGCCACCAATACTGTAATTGTATGCGGTGACCCGAAGACGAAGGTCGAAACGTCAAGCGACGTGTGGGTGTTATCTTTCCGCTCAAAGCCGTGAACACCTTGGCACGGGCACTGAACCGGCGGAATGTGAACATGTCAGCGAACAAACACGAGTGCCGTGTGGATGATTCCCATGTTTGGTACGTGGGATTTTGGAGTCCTGAAAACCTCAAACCCGCAGAGTTTTTGGTTGTATCTTATACGTTCAAGGGGTCAGGGACTCGGAAATAGGTGACAGAATTCATGATGTCATTAGCAGACCGGGTACGTAAATTACTTCATGGCCTGGAGCAAGCAAGCAAGCAAGAACGAAAGAAATAAAGAAAGAAATAAAGAAAACAAAAAACATGGTGGGCTTAGCATGATCTTCACAACTTTTTGGATGTCCAACGCTTGCTCCTTTGCCGCCTGCAGCGCCAGGCTGAGCAGCATCGCCTGCACACAGAGTGTGCTTTCGATCCATGGAATACTCTTGGCTAAATGAAATTCTAACTTGGGGTTAACCCAAAGATCTAGATGCTTCTAAGTTGAGAATCCTTCAGTCATTCATCCATCTTCCAAAACAACACCCCATCTTCCACCCCATCTCCGTCGTCCGTGGCCCGCACCGTTTCGCCCCAGGTGGCACCGATCTCACGGAGCAGCGCCAAGGCATCCTTCGACTCCTGGTCTGGAAGGATCGGATCATCTGACGGAGAGCAGCTTTCGGCGCACAGATCTGTAGCTGGCACCGAAATCAGTAAAACGCACGCACCGGGGTTTGGGCGTTCGCTGTTCGCTGCGGAGCGCAAGTCCGTCCATGTTTTGTGGGGGAGTGCCGTCACCCCAACCCGTCACCCCAACGTTCGGGGTATGTTCGGGTGTTCCTCCCTTATTCGGGGGAAGATGACATATGGCTTGGCTTCCTGGACAGCAAATCCAAGAAATCCTGGTATTTCCTTCTAGGCCCTCTAGGCTCTACGATTCCAGGGGTGGCGGCACCAGTGAGCCGGATGACTGCCCCAGACCAGGTGCTCTGCTCAGACCGTCCCAAGCCCATCGGATCGTCCGCCCAGGGGATCGACACCTTCGACCGATTGAGATGATAAAACCACACGACCTGTCTGGGACTCGCATATGAATAGTAAACATATATATATACATTGGGGTGGTTAGCCCGACGGCCGGAGACGAAAGTGTAAGTGTAAGAGAAGATTTGTCACACACCACACCACTCTTCGAGCAACGCCGCGGGCAGAACTTCTTACATGCATCTGGCATATGTACTACAGTATAAATATATATATATATATATTATACATAGTCATAGTATGAAATTCTTCCCATCCTATACACCCTCCCGTGCACATGTTCCACTCATCCACCATCGGGTGATCCTCCCAACTCAGCGACTCCCTCACCGTCCTGGCTGCCCCAGAACTTCGCCTTCGCCAGGGCCAACGCCGGCACAGCCTGGACGACTCGTGCGAGTCGGGTGACTCGAGCGAACGCCGTCGAAACGGCAAGACGGGACTGGGACTGGGACAGCCAGGACTGCAACGGGGACTTCCCTTCGACCAGGTGCAAAAAGAGGGTTGAGCTATCTGGTAAAAATCTTTAACAATGTTGGTTCGGGATTCATGTTATAGTACATTAAAGGTGGTTGGAAGCCTTTGTAGGGATATGGCCTCCGTTGGGAGTGGAATCGAGATGGGATCTGATGGTCCGTGATGGAAGCGGTCCAAAACCCGGTGCCCTCCGGTGCCCACGAGGCCCCTATTTTGGTATTCGGGGCAAGAGACCAAAACCAGAGGAGATCCATCCAAGAGCAAGCATGATGTCGACAAGCCAACAATCTTCAGAAACAAGCCCCATCAATCACCCTCCATTCAAACGACCACTACACCTCTGACTTTCGGAAAAACTCCCGGAATGTTCATCCACCAGTGCGGTGCTGAGAACTCAACTCTGGCACTGCCGGCCGTCCTGTCCATCTTCGGACCCCCAAGGCGTTCAACCCTCCAAACCACCCAACACAACCAACCAGCGACACGAAGCGAACATACACCCCGAGCCTCACTTTGTTCATGTCGCTTCGTGTCCGTTCCACCGTCCTCCATGCGTGGTTCTCGGACCCGCCGTCTCAGTGGACGCCTCAGAGAGGCTACCGGCCAGCGGCTTGGCGATGGCCAGGGCCTGTGCGATGGGTTCGGTCAACCTACCACGGCCACATGGGAGCGATGGCTACAAGTCAACTGTCTGAGGTAAGGTCCGCCTCATGGAACTCAGGGGCCTTAAAGCATTGTCTGAGCATTCCCGGCAGTCTAGCATGGTCTTCGGGGGGTGACCCTACTTCTTTCAGGCACCGTGACCGAACGCAAGAAGGTCGCTGAGAGGGATCTCAGTGACGCTTGAGAGGCAGGATCTCAGTGACCGAAGCACCTGGGGTTTTTTGTCTGAGTCACTCAGGTGGAATCAAGGGTCACCAGGGTCACTGAGATCCTGCTTGTTGGTAGCACTGTAGCACCCATCCCCATCCGTGGGATTTGGAAGGGGCAACGAAGTGACCAGGGGGTTCACCTGGGCCGCCATGGCCGCCAGGATTAAGCTGTCGAGCTCAGTGAGCTCGCTGAGCTCCGATCTCGGGCCTCTTCGGCTTTGGCCAATGCCTTCGTTGCCTGGGCTGGGAAGTTCAAAGGTCTACGAACCAACTAAGAGCAACTGGAAGAGCCAGTGAACTCGACTCTTGCAAAAAAATTGTGGTTGGGGTAGAATGGAAGGAAATCAGGTATAGATGTGTTCGGTGTTTTTTTCCCGCAACAAAAATGACTTGCAACAATTCAAACCCTTGTTGCCGTGCTGAAGTCGTCGCAGGGATTTCTCGGAAGGTGGACAGTACACTCGCCACTACCCAGACGATCTCCATGGGACTGGAAGATTTGCCCCAGAACCGGGGGTTTTGAGATGACCCAGGGTCAATGTAGGTGAAGATTCCGTTGTTCCATGAATTGTTGGGGGATGGTACATGTTGCGCACTGGCGACACGGAGAAGTTCTGAGGTCAAATCTCTGGTCGATTCCGCGAACGTGCGCAGCTGGCGCCTGCTGAGTGCTAACGGGTCAACGGCAGGCTTCAACACCCGAAGACGAACGAGTGAACAGATCGGCTTGGTACTGGCCTGATATATAGTCTGTCCATATATGGCTTTGAAAACAGGTTTAGAGTCTTAGAGATGTCTAGAGTCTCATTGCTGTGGGTGGCAAACAAGCACCTTCTTCTTTCAAACCCAAGGTGTTTTTCAGGCAAAACCTCGAAGTTCTCGGTGTCCAGGGCGTCCCGGTCTCCCCATCAAGCCTCTCACCATTCCTCCAAGTAGCATCTCCCAGTGCCAAGTAGGCGTCGACACAGGCACAAAGTGCAGAAACCTCTGAAGCCTGTCGAGTAGACGGCAGGGCCCGGCAGGGTCTCTCTTGCTTAATTGAGGTGTCAACAAAAAGACTATCTACCGCGCTCGGCTCGAGTAGTAGACGGAAAGATCAAGACATGTTCGTACATGTTCCAACTGCATCGCCTCCCTGAATTTGGACAGAATGAGGCGAATGAAAAGTCCAAACACGTAATCTCTGAGGAGTTAATGACAAAGACCTACCATAAATGTTCAATGCAACGAACCGTTTATTTGGAGCCTCCAGATATGGTCACTGATGTCAGATAAGTCTCAGATCAGTGAATCAGTGTCAAACATCAGAGTTTCCGGGTTCGTCTTCGAGCAATAGGTGTCGAGCATCCTCCCTCAAATCCAAAACATCTCAGATCACCACTGAAGAGTCCTTGGGCGCTTTCACACGGCCAACTGGGGCTCCCATACAGAAACCCTTAGCTAATTATTCAAGTACCACGGGTCCAATGTCTGAAGAACCAAGGGTTCACAATGGTTCAAGTATGTTCAAGGGTTCGAATCTCCCAACACTGCTCTCCGATGTCGGCCTTGTCAGAGGGCCCTTTACCACGGATGGTCTCCAAGACCTCATTGGCACACCTGGAATCTTGTGCGGTTGAAGCGGTTCGAAGCGTTTTCACCAACATGAGCCACTGGCGAACTGGTTTCCGACCCGATGTGTCACTGGTTCCAGGCTATACCAGCAGTTCTAAAACGGTGGCGAACGTGGAGGGTAGGGTCGGGGTGCCCCTGTCACATCAACTGGATGGGACTAAAAACAAATAAAAACAACTCCTTTGGAACTGCCTAGTGCCTATATATAGCTGGCTTGCAAAGGTTTCACAGGATCGGATCATTGATATTTTAAGCCACAAGACTGATTCGCCGGTGAAGATGCTCCAATCTTCCCTTCTCTCCAACTTTTAGGATGGTCCGAGTCTGAGTCTCAGTCGATTCCGAACCAGATATCTCCATCGCCAGTTCGATCCTTCGATCCTTCCGGTTCTGCCACCAGCATGGCATCCAAAACGGCCACGACACGACACACGAGCACCGCTGACGGCTCCGGAGTCGCTTCGGATCCGAGCCACTCCAGCGCTCCGTCTGCATCATCCTGGAGGGGACGACGTCCGAACTCAGACAGCGTCCACTCCGCGGTGAATGGCATGACCCCATGACCCACCGGATGACCATTGAGAACGAAGACCAAAGCGTGAAAGAGGGGCTGTCGATTCTCCATCCAGGTGAAAAAGGGCCTGGCCTGGCCTATGTTTTGGGAAAACGGCAGGACTGATTGTCCTCCCCTCCTTTCTTCCACGAAGTGGTGTTTGATACCTCTAAGACTGACCCAACCTCTGACTGACCCAACAATCGCCCGGCGGGAAGAAGGAGGATGTAAACCGTGGAACCTGACTGGCACTCCCTGATTTCTGAGGAGATCATCATGGGAAAGTGGAGTTCACCACCCGTTTGCTAGAGGAGAATGGATGAAAATGGTCATCCGAGTCCTTCCGGGGGGTCATGCCATCTTCCTAGGGGTCGTCACGTTGAAAGCAAACCTGCTCGTGTCAAGCTTGGTCCATGCGGGTTTGCTTCAGCCTTTTGAGTTTCTCCACACACCTTCCAATGGCTGGTGAACGAGCCAGGACTTCATCGTGACACTCGAGTGACGCAACGGAGTGGGTCATGGGTTCCCACTCATGTCACATGAAGAGGTTACCACTCTTGGTGTACAAAGACGGTGAGTTTTTCACCTTTATCTCCCAGAGTTTCACTATGTTTCACTACATTCCACCCAAACCCGCTGTACGAACCAGCAAGCGTTTGACACGCAAGTGCGTGCATCCAAGTGGGGGGTTGAAACAGAGTCGAGATTCTACATTAGGCCCTCCAGGGTGTTGCCCACTGCTGACTCATGCCTTGTCCCTGTCCCCTCCTGCCGTAGCAACGTCAAGGCCCGACCAAGCAGCGCAGTGTAGCTCATGGCGTTCGACGAGTGACGCACGCGTTCCGTCACGCGTTCCGTGGGCGCAACGTCAAGGCAGCACCTATGGGGCGTCACTCGAGCGATGGATAGAGCAATTTCGGCTAGCAATTGACAGTTCTACCAGCTGGATCTAGCTGGTAGATTTTGAGGGAGATCGTCTTCCTTCCAGGAGCGATGATTTCTGCTTTCCGAACATCTTCATGGTGAATGCCAATGCCAGAGCTGCTTCTTGACATGTATAGTTCCCAAGCCATAAGGGCTACCAAGGAACGTGGCATTATTTTAATAAGCCGGCACTATTAAGAAAAAAAAACATCCACAACCCATTCAGAGAACCTCTCCTCCGGCAGGGTGAAGGTCCCTAGTGAAGGTCCCTGGTGAATGTCCCTATGGCACCACTGTAGATGAAAGATCTGGCTGTGGCTCAAACAGTAAGACCAAGAAGGATTCACAGGTTTTATTATTGTTTGTCTGCGTTTACATGCTCTATAAAGGACGAAAGCTGAATCAAATCAACTCAGATCAACTCAGAACTTCAAAACATTCCATCCTTTGGGTCTAACTGACCAGTCGCAGTGGATGATCATTCGGTTGGGTTTCAAACCAATCGTGAAGCCGGATGGTTCATCCCGTGGCTACCGACCCGTAGCGTCCGGTCCGGTCGAGTCATGGATCCGGACCGGAAGCCTGCAGTTCATATGGATATTGTAACCTGGTGAATAGATTTTGGGCTTACCAGCAGTCACAAGACGGGGTGCCGAACGTGGAGGATAGGGGTGCCCCTGTCACATCCACTCACTGGATGGCACGAGCCACACCACTCCGTCTTGTTTCCTCCTGGTAAAGAGTGTTTCACATGTCCCGGGTTTTCGTTGGTTCGGAAAATAGTGTTTCACCGTTCAACATCTTCCCCGTGCCATAGGGGAGGATGGAGACGCCCATGCCTTTAGGGAAGAGATCCACGCACCCAATCCGCAGAACCAGGTGACCCACCATCTTTAGCGAATTCGCAGCGAATGGATACCCCTTAGAGGAGAAAATACCAGGAACCAGCCGAGACTCATCTCTCTACGGAACGTCAGGGTCTGCCACCCCCCCGGAAAAAAGAAAACGAACAAAACATGAAAAAGCAAAGCAAAAAATAACAAAACTTAGAGGCTTACAACAACGACTCTGCTGGCACTTCGCACCGTCCGAAATCCACATTAGCCCTGGCCTGTCCGGGCCAGTAGCTGGTCCGATCTCATGTTTCGCTGACCAAGCCACCGCAATGCTGGCGCTAGGCAAGCTGAAAGGCATGCAACGCATTCGTCGTATTCAGCCTAGCTATCTTGTCAGGCAAGCATTTCTGAAATATGCTGATCCGGGATCATTCACAAAAACTGTCACCAGAAACATGACTGCCTGTCTGACCAACGCCCTACTGTAGTGCAGTACGGCTACCTTTGCGCACCAATTTCGTGCTGCCGTGCACATGCAGATCTAGCTCATGCAAATCAAAATCATGACATGTCTGTCATCGCTAAACAGAAGAAAATATTACACCTTCTTGCTCACTCACAGGAGATGTGACATAAGCATTTGCACAACCTTCTCAAGGCAAGATGGTTGTGGCTCAATAAGAAAAGGCATCAATGGCGCATTGCCATGCAAAGACAATGAACACGGCAGACTGGCAGGCCATTGAGCCCTTCCCATCTTGTCTTCGAGCATTGAATAGCAACCATCGGCTCAAAAATGTTGAAGACTGTCATGCGGCGGCCACATCCTTGCGGTATGAGAGCTAGCGGATCGTCAAACGGCTCGTCAGTGAGGATCAACCAATCGGATGACACCTCTATTTGGGGCATCATTGTTAACAATTCAAGAAAGGCTGCAACCAACCGTAAGCCTGTTTCCTCCATGCTCCTATTTGCTGGGCCACATCAGTCAGCAAAATCAGTGTTGATGATCCTGATGACTGGATATGACTAGATGATTCTGGATGGCACAGCCCCCGGTGGCAGGTCTTTTTCCTGGGCTCCTTGATGGTCGTTCACAGCTCATACTCTGCAAGTCGATTTTCAGGGGACACCTCACGTGAAGGGGCAAACATGGGCATAGCCGGCGTCGCAAAATACCAGCTATACTAGGACCCACAAGGGGTGGTTAATGGACACCCCTTAACCTCTCAGGGGCTATCAAAAGACACCCCTTAAGGTGTCCTGGTATACACCTTCTATCTGATATCAACTGTGCCTGGGCTGCCTGGTGGTCTTTCCTCGACCGAGGCATCTCTCATCCGTCCTACGAGAGCTGGTCAGCCCCGATGACAGGTCGTCGCCCAGATGAAGGAACCATCCACAGTAACTCCAGGGTCACATGTTACTGACGGGTTAATCAGAAGCAATCAGAAGCACTTCGAACATACAACTGGACCAGTCCCTCTACAAGCCAGTCACACAGCCGCGTACACAGCCGGAACACAAAAACATGAAGCAAAGTTGGCTCTTGATCCACCAGGTTTATATGAACTTCTACATTGGTTGGTTCTGCAAACATCCCCACCCATCTGGTGACAACATCCACCCCCTGCACCGATCTCGCCTCCCCCGAAGCTTTTTGGAGGCTTTCGGCCAAGCGAACCAATTCTTCGCACCTGAGGACGGCCAGACCAGGACGTTGGCGGTTTTTCTCGGGTATCTACAGGTCAGAGCGTCTCTTCGGTGTCAAATCCACACTCCCCAAACAAATATATGACTCGTATTGAAGATCAAGGTCTCCATAAGCACACCCAAAACATCAACAGAACCTGCACACAACTGCCATAGTTTTGCCAGAACTCATGTTCTCACGGCAACCCCTCTCGAATGCGGTTCGGCAGCTGGTAGACGCAACAGCACGACTTCCTTGCGTATTCTATATGTACATGGAAGTGGCATATGTGCTGCTGGAAGGCTGGAAGTCTACTTTCCTCTACAAACGGGGGTTTTCCACTTCCATGTTAGTGAATCAGAGTGTAGTCCGTTTCATAGTCTTGACATTTAAGGAATCCATGGCACCAAGGTCCATAGTCTTGTCCGGCCTCAAACAGCTCCCCGCAATGGAAAAAAGCATAGACAGTTCCAAAAGCCATGTGAACCAACAAGCGAATTCGGTCGCGCCCGCTTTGCGCCAAGTGAAGCCAAGGTGTTGAGGATATGGGGACAGGAGCCCGAGAGCCCTATAGGGTCTCTTCCTTTACACCAGCGTTTCGACTCTCGGTTCCCGTGTACGAATGATTCAGCTCGGCTGTTTTCGAACTCCGAGTGGCAGCCGTGGATGGGAGCTCTTTGCTGCGGCGCTCTGTGCTTCCTTTAGGAAGGTCTGGTAGTCCTTCAGACGTGAAAGGTGGAGTTGGTTGGCACCAGGTTCTATGTCTTTGTTTCGGCGAAGAAAAGATTTCTAGGACCCAGGAACCATGGACAAAAAAGGCGATTCCATGGTTTTTCCCGAGGTACAGTACTCTCCTTCGTCATTCACATGGAAGGTTTGTTGGCTTCGGACCCATGATCATCCGAACTTCTGGGCCGCGGACATGGCATCCAAGTAACAGTGGATGATTTCAGGCATTGTATACTTGCTACGGTTCCCCACAGCCACATGGATTTGACCAAAAAGAGAGACGGTTCCACCGGCTTTTCATCGAACTTCCTTGGGTGATTCACATGGATCACCGGGTGATCACCGCACAAACACTCCATCCAAAAACTGGCCATATTGGACCCCCAAGGGTCCACCACTCCGTCCGTTAGGTGACGGTCACCCATCCATCCGCCTGGTGCACTGCTGATTGAAGGACGGTATAGATGCCCTGCTGAATCTGGCGATCGCAGACATTCATGGTGTGTTCATGTGTTTTCATGTGTTTTCTGGGATGAAAGCAGTGGGCGAGTCTCCTACCCGGCGTCTGATTTCACAGCAAGCCAGTCTTCACACCCATCTTGCCACACCTTATCCGCTTGAAAAACATTGACCCACGGTATACTTTGGGCGGAAGGAAGGGGTGTAGTTACTTGTACTCAAATGCTCAAAGACTTCTAATGGTCATTGTAGGAATATTAGTTGTAGGTCAGCAAAAGAAAGTCATTGAGTCGCAGCGCTTGATGGTTTAGAATAGGGTCCTTTTGCATCCTGCATGTCCCCTGTTCACAGAGACTTCTTGTCCACCCTGTTTGCCCGAAGATCACTCCGTTGACTCCAAAATCCAAGCTCAAACCATAAAACGAAAGGGACACACCTTTTCTCAGCCAAAAAGTGCCTCGGTTTATCGGTGGTTTCACCGTCTTGTTCCACAGACTCCCCCTCGCCAGTATGGCGATCGTGGATGGGGTCAAAAGCGAGCCCAGCTCAAGGCACCTTGTGTGTACTCTTGGCTTTAAAATATTCTGCTCTCATCTTCTCTGTGCCCCAATTCTTGCCAGCGTTTTCACGCTGGAATTTGTTCCATGGATTCGACGGTTGCGGGCCTTGAGGTTGCACAGGCCTTGATGCCGTCCTTGACCATGTAGCATCGGATGATGCGGCTTCTGATGGCCCTTCTTTCAGCTGCTGTATGATCAGCGCTGCTTTCTCTGCGCTTGCCGCAGCACAGTTGGCAGCTTCAGCAGCCCTGTATGCCCTCTTCGCCGCATCGGCAGCAGCACCAGCAGCCTCGCCGGCTGCCACGGTCCTTGGATCGTTTGATCCGGACCTCAGGCGGTGCGCTGAAGCCCGATGACGCGAGTGCGAGCCCGACTGTCGCCAGGTAGGTTCTGAAGTAGAGCTCGTTCTGGATGTAGCCCCTTCTTCTTCTTCACTGGCCGACTGTCTCATTGTTGGACCCTCTTTTTCACTTTCTTCTTCCTCCTCCTCCTCCATACGAAGTGGCTGCGGCAGCCCGATGACACCATGCAATCTTTTGAGACAGCACCCAATGGAACTCAGCGCTGTCTTTCCCACCCAGATTGCCCCGATCAGCACCAGGATTAAGCCGCACATCCACACAGCATCGAGAGGTAGGTCAGGATCATGGGCTTCTTCAGAGCCCGTTGTGTTTGCTGCTTGGGTGGCCTGAATGATTGCTCCCCCCACCACCAACATCTGCAAGGCCACTGTGCGGTCTTGTACTTGGAGGTGTCGATCACCCATCGCCATTCGTCTCACCTGGACCGGTTCATTTTGTAGGCCCAGATCCGACACAAAGCCAAAGAAGCTCTGGCCGGATAATGGCTTTGTCATGCCATCCGCCACCAATTCGGTGCCTTTCAAGTGATTGAGCCGCCACTTGCCTCCAGGGAACTCAACCTGATCTTCCAGGGCTTCACGGAGGATGCTTGCTCTGACCCTGAGGTGGCGTGTCCGCCATGATGAACTGCTATTCCCATAGGCGAGGCCAATTGCAGCAACATTATCTCCATAAATCACCCGCTCAAAGGGATTGGATGAAATGAGGTCCTCCCCCCAGATGGCACACATCAAAGCCTCGATCGACCTGCCAGCCGTGAGGGCTTCGCAATATGAAACAAGCTCTGACTCGGCAGTGCTGTGAGTCACGAAAGGTTGGGTCGAGCTTTGCCAAGCCACTGGAGCGCCAGCAACATAGACCACTAGTCCTTGGATGCTGCGATGGTTGGATCCAGCACCATAGGCGATGTCAGCAAAGACCTCGATGAGCTTGTCGTGACGCTGGACTTTCAATTGACTTCTGGCACCCCATTTTTGGTGGATCTCCTTGGGATAATGCATGTCAGCAGGGTTGCCTTTGACATAGGCAAGGAGGTTGTGGCCGATTTCAATGGCCCTTTTGGGATTCTTTGTCATCAAACGGCTGAGAGCCGCCACACCATATGCCAAATCTGGTCTGGACCTTGTCGACAGCCAGAGCAATGACCCAGCTAAGGCTTGGGCTTCACGAACCTGGCGGCGGTCACATTCAACCTGCACCTCATAGTCTTCCTCACTGATCTTGAAGCGAGGGAACTGCACAGCCTCGTTCACATTCCAGCGGGTGAGGATTTCTTGTTCATATTGTCGTTGAGACAAATGAAAACCATCTCCAGCTCCATCGGCCGTGATTTCAAACCCACAGAAATGCACTGGCGTTTGTGCTGAAGCCCATTCAACACTGGATGTGGTCCAAGTTGCTTGCAAAGAGGTGAGGCCCGCACTCAAGGCTGCTTCTTCTCCGGTCATGAGGATGTCGTCCACGTACACGGACATGAGGCCTGTCCAGTGACGTTCACCTGTTTCGAGGTCTACTTCTTCCAGCCGCCATAGATTCTCGTCCGTGGTTTTGTGGAAATGTCCACGGACTTTGCGATGATTTCGCATTCTCACCCAGCTCATCGATGGCATGGTCTGGTCCCTGTGCCTCGACCAATCCTTGGGGGACGTCGTCAAGCCGTACATGGCCAGGCGAACTAACCAAACCTCCCCTTCTGCTGCCAAGCCAAGCCGCTTGTAAACTGAAGGGATCTCCATGGCGACCAGTTTCCCATCTTCTCTTCGAGGGGCGTTCAAAAAAGCTACCCTGATGTCCGTGGCAGCAACTGACCAGCCCTTCAAAGCAGCTGTTCTGATCACCGCCCTCACCTGACAGCCGTCAGCTCCGCCTGCATAGCAGTCTGCATTAAACCTTGACTCTGAATAGTTCCCGCAAACAACTGCACGAGCTCTTCGATTGCCAGCTCCTGACTTGCGGGTGTAGACCATTTTTGCAGGAAGGAGTTCGATCACTTTACCTTCTTTCTCAGCTCGTTTTTGGAGGTTCAACTTGGTGATCTGTTCAACCGCTTCCTTGTTTCTCACGAGCTGATCATACTCCGCTGTGATCGGAGGGATCCAGTTTTCAAAATCATCCATGACCTCTTTGGTGCTGATCGTTCGTGTCACCAAGAACTCTTCTTCCAGCTCCTGTTGGTGTAGAGCTTCGCTATCATTTTGATGTTGAAGAAGATTCTCCTCCGCATCAACCTTTTGGATGATTGCATTGGCTAATGCTTCAAGACAGCACCCTTGGTCAGGATTTGTGATGTCCACATGCTTCAACTCATCCACCACGTAGTCCGCCAGGTTCGCCTGCATGGACCGAATGAATTGGACCCTCGTGATCGGAGCTCTCCCAGGTGCTTGACATTGCAATGAGGCCACCAGGTATGAGCCACCAGCCTGGTTGTTAGGCGCCTCCTCCCACTCCCCTCCTCCGAGTGATTCCTCCTCCAGCGAAGCCTTTGCACCCTGGGAGGATCCGTCACTTGGTGTCCTTTCATGGTCACTGGATGTCCTCTCAGGCGTCTCAATCGTCCAGCTATCGCTGCTAATTTCCTGGCGGAACAACTCGGGGTCGTTGGGTGCATGAACATCAAAAAGATCACGATGATCACAAAGCCAGTTTTGAACTCGAGCACTGGTCTCCCCCTCCATGTACAACATGGACAGCTGTGGAATTGCGGTTTTATCCCACAGGCGACGTTTTGGAACGCTGCCTTCCCATTGAGGAGCTCCTGGAAGGCGGTCGAGCTCCGGCAGGTAGGCACAGACCTCTGCTGCTTCAGGTTGGTGAGCCATTGGGACCACAACATCATCGGTATAAAAGAACCGTTTGGTTTCGACTGACTGCACATAGTAGCTGGTGCTTGTCAACGAAGAGTGAATCGCTGGCCCCAAAACAGTCACCTCATCCCTGATCTCCCGCCAGGGTTGGTAACGATCCTGCCAGGACTTTTTCAGGGCAAAGGCTTTGGAACCGAACTGAAGCGTGGGTCCCACCGGCACTCCAAGGCTTCGAAGCTGGCCTCGGAGACGGCGTTCGCCGATGTGGATTGCAGCAAGCGGCCAATATTCCAGCCCCAAACCTGTTGTTGCCACCACCGTCCTGACATGTTTCTTGATGACGCCAAGTTCACCTTCAACTCGGCCGTTGGCCTTGAATGAGTCACCGGATGTCAAAGTGGTGACTATTCCTCTGTCGAGGGTCCAGCGGCGGACTGGAGCTGAGATCAACTCCCGAGCTCTGTCGCAGTGAATGCGGTACAAAGGCAGCCCCAAGGATCGAATCCTCGCGTAGATGCGAGCCAAGGCAGCCAGAATGTTGTTCACAGCCCGTCCTGGAAGTACTTCAACGAAGGTGACATTGCGGACTGCAACATCTTGAGCTTCTTCAATTCGCTTTTGCCATGCTTCCATTGCTGCACGGCCATGTTTCACACCTGCTGCTTCTGCTGCACTTTGTCCTGCCTCCCCCGGATCCTCTACATCTCCAGGTTCCTCTTCCCTCAAAAGGTCCTCCCCCGGGTCGTCACCCCCAGGTTCTGTAGGAGTGTACTCATCAGCGTCGATGGAGGGTGGATCTTCCTGGTGACTTGATGCCTCTGCAAACTCAACCAATGAGCGGCCAGAGCGATCCACCGGGAAGGTGTACACAGCAATCATCATGTACCTGCAGTCGTGCCTGTTCTGGTCTTGACCAATCACCATTTTTCCGGACAGGTCGATGCTCAACGTGTAGGCTTCAGGGTGTGTGATCTTACGATGTGGTTTGCTGCGTGCAGAGGAGCGAACACAATCACGACAGTCTCTTCTTGCTGGCATATGGTCATTGAGATAATGTTGACGCCAGCTCTCAAGTGCCACCTGTCCAACAGGGCGGAGTGCAGCCTCCAAAGATGGGGTAACTCGACGGTTGAGGTGGTCTTGTACAGCTAGCACCAGCGCCACTTTCAAGCCCGGTGCCCATGCCGCCCAACCTTTGGAGTCTTCACAGCGCTCCTTTAGCGTCATGTTGGCTCGATCTTGGCCTTGAGGATCAGGAGGATCTCCACTTGGTGGACCTCGAACACCATCCAAAGCATGGATGTCACGCAGCACCACAGCCATTGAAGTAGGCTTTTTCTTGATGTGGCCCATCGGTCCTTGATCGAAGTGGATCATCCGGACCTTGAAGTGTGCCTCAAACGATTGCCATTCTTTGGTGCGCCACACCGACATGAATTTCTTGACCTTCACTTCTTCAGTCGGTCGATACCGTGCAGGATCTTCGGGCTGCTCGATTGCCAAAGCGGTCTGCGGCTCATCCGGCAGGCGAACATCCTCGCACAACATGTACAAGGCCAACATGCGGAACCAGAGTACACTATCACCAGTGACCAGATTCTGTTCGGTGGCCGTCAACGTTGGAACCCCATAGGGATACTCTTCAGTTCGAAGAACGCCGGGACCGCCGTCATCTTGGAACCTCAGGGCTGAAACAGTGCGGCAAGGTGGACCAGCCAACAATGCTTTGACTCTTCCCGATGCAGCCAGGGAGAGCAAGAAGCGGAAGACTGCATCATCATGCAAATCTGCTGGAACATAGCCGCTAAGATCAACACAAAGGACCTCAGTGCCACTGCCAGCAAGCTTCTTCTCCCAAAAACGATGGTCCGGCCCTGAGAACAAATGGATGACGATGCTTTTGGCCTGTTGTAGCCGCCGACGTTTGTGCCGGTTCCAAGGGATTCGATGCCCTTCATTGCCCTTCAGCGAAGAGAGGTCCGGGATGACCTTCATCAACACCTCATCCGGAAGATCCGGAAACATCATCTTCATCTTCAGGGTGAGGGCCATTTCCGTGGAGTTCTTCACCGCCTCCAAGGACTCTGCTGATGGATCCACCAGCATGGACTTGAGCAACAGGGCCTTCCGCACCAATCGAACTTGTTGATGTTCGAGTCGAGCAATCATCTCCTGCCCCAACTGCCGGGTGACCATCGGGCAACCATGTTGGATGCAAACATCAAGCTCCTGGCCCTGCTCATCACGCAGAGAGCATTTAGCCCCCTTCCACTCAAACCTGTAGCCCAGCTCTGTGATGCCTCCCAGTGGAATGATCCAGGATTGGCTCATAGTGTCATCAGCCGGGTCTGACACCAGGATCTTGGAGTTCACCTTCAGACGAAGTTTTGTTGTCACCCCATCAGCCAAGGTGACTTGCGTAGGTTGTGCCGCAGCCCATTCGCCTTCAGTCAAAGCCGGCCTCAAAGCGTGGGTTGCTCCAGAATCCAAAAGCACCATCATGCCTTCAGTAGCCACGTCCAGCTGGCTGATCTTGATCATCTTCAGCTGCGGTGCCCTCAAAGACTTGAGAAGCTTCGTGGCCTCTTGGAGCAGAGCTTCGCTGGATGTTGTGCCCGTTTCACCTTTACTTCCATCACTTGGTGCAGGGACTTCAGAGGCAGCCTCCATTGGACCTTCCATTTCTTGAAGCTTGGGTGCGATTGAACTGCCAGCACCTGCAACATTGGATGACGTAGAAGGCGACGTGGACATTTTTGACGATGACTTTCCTCCCCCTGAGCCGCCAGGCTCACCATGGGATTTGCCGTCTTTGGATGGACCAGGTTTGCCTTGTCCTTGGGCTTTGAGTTTGCAATCCGTTTTGCGGTGATCCTTGCCGCCGCAAATCCAACAACGAGCTGCTTTATCTTCGATGCCGTCCCAGGAATGCGACCATTTGCAGTTACGACCAGCTTTGCACCCTGACTCGGACCGGAAGTATTTGCAAGGAGTGGACGCCAAGGATGTGCCCTTCCCCTTATCCACAGAGCTGCCAGTGGCATTGGGTGGCTTGCCATGCGCATCCATTTGCTTCACCTTCACCGGCGATGGAGTTGTAGTAGATGGAGTTGAGGCCATGAGGCACAATGTTTCTGCCTCTGCCAGCAGACATTGGCTGAAGCGCCAAACACCATCATGTAGTGGCTGTTGATCAATCCCCAACTGCAACCTGCTCTGGGCCAAACGAAAGGCAGCTTGAGCATCCAAGGCACCAATCTGAGCAACGGCAGGTTCAAGGGCCTTCAACAACAAAGTCCCGTCCGGCAAGATCGCCCCGATCTCCTGAGCACGGGCATAGTGTCTTCTCCAAGACCTCAAAGCCGCTGCCAGTTCAGGTGTCCCTGAGCTCTTATCCAGCGAAGTCAGCTTGGCCAACAGGATCGACTTTTCCCCGGAACCACCGGGCTGGTACCTGACCAACAAGCGGAACAGCAATGCAGTCGAGGTCAACTCCCTGGCCGTGATCAAAGCCTGCTGCTGATCTGCGGGGATGGCTTTCAACAATAAGTTCACACCACGCTGCTCTGTCCTCTGGTAACATTGATCCAGCAACTCATCAGGCAGCTTGGGCACAATTTGAACTCGCTCCAAGGGCGAAGATGTTTTCCATCTCTCATAATAGCACTGGGCTTCTCTTGTGGTTAAATTCCACCACCTTGATGACACCGATGAGATGTCCCTCAAAACAGGACCACAAACAGCCAACCAATCGCCCAGTTCCAAGGGGGATGCATCAGCCGCTAACTCTACCAGTTCTTTGTTTCCCCCCCCAGCACCTTCAGACCAAGGCAGCGGAGCAGGTGTTGGTGAGAGTGGCATCTCACTTCGCCATCGACCATATGGCGCATCACCGCCCCGCATCGCAGACTCCGGGCCCAACTTCACGTCGATCGGCCCATGACCCGAAACAGGGTTGCCACCAGGAGGGAATACTTTATCAGGACCATGTTGACATACTTCAGCTTGACCCCGAACACCATGACCCAACCCATGACCGTCACCTTGAGGTCCACATGCTACCCCCCGTAGGTCATGACCATAAAATAGATCCAGAGGTGGGCCATTTGGGATGCTACTCAAGCCACCATGTCCTTTTGACCCCTGCATGCGAGCGACGGACTCCTTGAGCGCGGCCAATTCTCGCTCCATTCGAGCAGCAGGATCACGGCCATCATGTGGAATGAAGGCCTTCCCTTCTCGCATGCTTGCCGGGACCCATTGCGCGTCCCCGAGCCGACGACGGAACTCTACAAAATCATAACCTTGAAACATGTTGGAATCCGCCAAGGCACACGGAGGAAACGGTGGCGGAGGCAGCTCCGGCAGATCCTGAGGTGGTGACCCTGGAGGGAGCTGCGTGCCATTGGGCGTGTACCTCACGCCATTGGTTGTTCGCCTCGTTGTAGGACTTCTTCCCCGAGGCGTCTGTGGTGTCTCTCCTTGGCGAATGCCCTTGTGGTGCCCAGCAGTTTCACAACCTGCGGTGCCCGACGATTGGTCCTCTTTCTTCGGACCATGTTCCTCAACCTGCTCACAAGAGGACGGGGCAGTGGATGGAGCTTGACCGCTCCGGTGAACCTGTTGCTTCAGCTTTTCAACTTCTTCCAGCAACAGTTCATTTTGGTCTCTCAAAAACTGCACCATTTCCGCCTCCATAGCTCTTTGGAGGCTATCATTTCTTTCATGCGCTTGTTGAGGACAGGGGTGTGGTTCACCAGTTGGAGGTACGGGACCCATGGACTTCATGGATGATCGCCCCTTGACCTTGGTGGACTTGACCCTGTTCTCCCCAATGCCATCGCTATCAGGTGGCATCATGCCTTCAGAGCATCTCTCCATCACATGGCCGCGACCTTCTGTCCAGCGAGCACTAGGTGGGGTGACATACATCCAGCCAGACCCTCCAGACCCAGACGCCACACCGCGTCCTTTCCCGAAGCCACCTGTGCCCTTTTCTGGCACAAGTTCAGTCTCAGCCTCCCAGTCGCCATCACCATCGTCCTGTGGGACCGGCAAATCCTCCGGTCGGCTCAGACGAAGTGCCACCTCTGCTTTCAGTCGGTCCGACCAAAATGGATTCGCTCCCAGGGGAGGAAGCGAATGCGAGCGCTCCATTGCGCTACCACGCGGGTAGGTTTGGGCTCATAACCCTCAAACCATAAAACGAAAGGGACACACCTTTTCTCAGCCAAAAAGTGCCTCGGTTTATCGGTGGTTTCACCGTCTTGTTCCACAGACCAAGAATGGCTTCAGGCTGACAGCCACAAGCTCTTCCAGTCTCATGCATTTTACGGTCACTGGCTCCAGCCATTTCAGTGGCCGGTGGACTCCCTTCGTTTCCTTGGAAAACAAAGCTTGGCTTAGCCTTGTTCCACCTGTTCTATCGCTCCAACCACGTATTGTGGTTCAACCGCAAACACTCTGGTTCCACAGTTAGGTCGCACCTGTTCATGTTTGGCCAAAACCCAAAAAGGTCCAAAAAGGGCTTCAGGCGACCAACCTTCCGACGCTCGTGCGCGCTCGGAATTGGCTCGTCCGCGGAGGCCGCGCCGAAGCGGCCTCGGGATTCGGATCATCCAAATGCACAAAGAGGTTGCGGAGGATGTACCTGTCATCAGCATCGCACCCCCCCTGGACAAGCATCGGGTCATATCCAGTCCAGCAAAATGCGAGAGAATCGAGCGTCGTGAGAATAAGGAAGGAAACAGTTGGATTGAATCGGTTCGATGTTATCCTGCCCAGTGTCTACCCTACTTGATAGTTGATGGCAATTAAGACCAAAAAAACTAGAAAACATCATGTCCAGTCATCAGTTTTCGAGCCGTCTTTGGGATGTGTTCATTTGTGACATGTGACAGAATATGTTCATAGGTTTAACATGTTTAACCATGGTTTTAAGAAGTGCACCCAGGACAAACAAGACGTCGTGCGCACTCGAAGAGGGTCCGGCTCCAGTTGTGCGGTAGGCACTTGAAGAAGACGTCCAAGGCCTCTTCGACTTTCGTGGGTTGAAGACTCGCAAAAGGGTGCAAGTGAACCAAGGATCTTGCAACACACAAGCTTCATCAAGTCCGGACTCGGCTGGGTAAGCTTTAGCTTGACCATGCTTGACCGGCTTCGAGGACCAGAAGTGGCCGCCACCTGGTGAAAACCGCGGTCCCATCACAGCGGTGAGGAGTCCAATTCACTATCGACACGGCATGTGGCTGTGGGTCCAACCAGGTGACCCTGGCTGAAGAGCCAAACTGAGCAGGATAGACCATACGGGGGGGGGGGGCCTACCAGGGATCAGGGGTTCGGGTTCTTGCACACTGCCATGTATCTGAGTTATGTAGTTATATGTTCAAAGTCACGCACAACCTCCACGCACGGCCAGACTCTGTCCCGCTCTTGTCAACCAGCTGGGCCCGGGCCTCGCACACGGCCACGCGGATCTTGTCGTTGGAGTCATCCAGTCGTTTCAGCAGCTCTGGGTAGACCTGGTCGTTTTTTTCGGCCAAGCCATGCCAGAAAAATGCACTGGCTGGGTCACAGGAATGCTGATGGAATTTTTCCAGGAAAACGGTTGGAACCTGCTGAAAGCTCCAAGGAAAGTCATCACCAAGTCCAGGTTTTTGCGGTTTCACTGTCATTTTCCCTGGCGACTTGGAAGAAGTCTACAACCATCATCCCTTCTCGAGATCTTGATGCTTCCAGGGTCGAACTGGGAACTGGTTCTCATTGGTGTGCAGGCTGCGGGTTTTCGCAGCGGCCGCCACCCATAAACCCTTGAGAAATGAGATGAAATGAGTATCGACGACCAGTAATGTGCATAGTTGTTTGCACCTGAACCAACAACTGGACCATGCTAGACTAACTAGTTGCACCATCGGCTTTCATCCTACATCAGAGCACCAGTTGATGAGCTGACTCTCCTCAAAAATGTCTGCCAATCTCTTGCTCTTTCTATGTTATTGTGGCTCTCCACATCTCAACGTCAACATCGCAAGAAAACATGCTTCGTCCACCGACCGATCAACTCGCAGAAAAACGGTCACTCACCTCGCGCAACTGTTCGCCGTTGATCTCCGCCTCGTGACACGAACAGACCAACAGCGACATAATTAGCCACAGTTGCAAGCTGCCAACAGAAGGGCATGCAAGCCTCCAATGTGGAAAAACGCGCACGATAGATATGGATAGATCCAAATACCCTCCAACAGTGCTGGAACACCTCGATCTTCAGGCCAATCCCCGGTCTTCGTCGCTTTTGAGGACCCCAATAACATCCAGTCACTAACCCTCGTCTCAGACGCCAAAAAGAAAGGACATGGGCTCCACGCTGACTCCAGAAACCGAGCTCCGACTCACTCCAAACCGGCCCAGTCGGCGCGCGCCCAAACGGAGTGCCCGGTGCTGTGGACCGGTCGCCCGGGTGCCCCGGTCCTGCAGGTCGCCCAAGGTACAGGAGAGCACCAAGCAGGCGATCATCCGGTTATCCGGCGACCTGGGGACCGTGACGGACCGCACGGTCCGTGACAGGGATGGCAAGGTCCGGGCGCGGAATGGGGGAAGTTGGAGAAACTTCGTATTAACGAGCACGTGCCAACCAAATCGGGAATGAGGCTCCTTTCCCTAAGAAAGTCATCATCAGGGCCCACCAAACAACGCCCAGACTGGACCTCGTTGGCCTCCATCGGTTGATCGACTTCTGGTTCAGTCGATCGGCCATTGGGCCGTTTCTGAGAAGCCACACCAGCTATCATCCAAACAGCTCTTCAGGATGGGCATCAAATCCACGAAGACCTGGCGGAGTCGACTCATGCCAGGTCAAGTCACTCCCGGACCCCAAACCCCCATGCGAGGCGTCGCAGTCGCAGTCGTGGCTGGAAAACCATGCGTGGCTGGGCAGCCGCAAGGGCACGGAAACCCACCGTGTTGCGATCTAGTGCTACTATAGATGGTTCACCAACTCTCTAACTCTCTCTAACTCTAACTCTCTATTGGGTTGGAGGCCATCGCTACTAGGGTGGAGGCCATGGCTAGTAGGTTGGAGGCCATTGCTTCTAGGTTGGAGGCCATCTCTATTAGGCTCTCTCTCTCTCCTTTCCCCAAGCACCCGTGGCTCCTACACCGCGTTCGACTCGTCGCCTCGTTCAGCACCGCGGGCGGCACCAGGTGTCGTCGCAGGAGCGAATGGACACAGACCTGATCGATGCCACGCCGTGTGGCGGTGGCGTCAGAGCGCCGAGCCCGGAGCCCCATCCGGTCCGACTTTGGAGTACGGTCTCTTCAAGAAGAGGTACCTCTCAGGTGGTGGGAGTTGGCTCTTTGTCTGAAAAAACCACACCAAACGCAGAAAAAAACCTGAAATCCACAGAGCACAGGAGCAAACATTGCACCTGAACCTACCAGGTCTCGATCTCGGCTCTTCGTTTGGGTTTGAGCGCCCCTGACCATCCCACCGCGGCGGATCTTTCCATTGGACTGGCCAGGCCTGGGCGGACGGAGGGAATCGGTGGTGTGGAGCTGCTTTCGGGAATCGGGGCCAACCACAAGCACGTCCAACATGCATGATGGCCGAAGGCTGAATGGGAACCAAAAGAACAAGGGTTGGTGAAGTTGGATGCCTTTTGGTGGACAGCAGGCGGTTGCAAGCAGGTGTTGCACCAACTCGATCCAAAGTGTGTGATCATGTGGCAGGTCAACTCAAACACCTGGTGTGGCAGTTGGTGGGAGTTTATCCCTTCCAGGTGTCAGGTGAAGCAAGCGGCTTTGGCCGTAGGGATGCCCTCAAATTTCAAACATGGTGACCGTCCACGGTGCAGCCACTGTGGCCTCAACCCCAAGAATTACCGCAAAACAGGGAATTGTATGGAATTGTCCCGATGTTGGTCTATGGGAATTTCAGTTTTCGCCGGATCGCACGAGCTGAGCCCTCCTGGTCTCAGCCCTCCGTTTTGGTCACACCACCTGCCCTCGAAAACCGCTCCTCCAGGAACAGTTGGGCAACAAGACACCTCGGCGAACACGCGCAGTTTTTCTTTTTCGTGCAAAGACACGGTGGACAAGGTGTTGGGGGTGGGAGAAACGGATGCTCTTTGTGTGCCAGATATGCGGCATTTGTCCACTCTTCTCTTCCACCATCCAAAAAAACGGATACGATTGTCGGAAGTGGAGCAGAATTGATGTGTTTTGAGGTAATGATCAGTGATCATGAAGGAAAACACGCCTGGCGTAGCTGGCAGCTGGCCGGCTCAAAACAGAAACTGTTTCAAAGGATAGCCGGACAAAACGTGATGGATCGTGATGGTATGGCGCAGTCAGTTGGTGGCCCCCAATGCTTCTCTCTTCCCTCGCAGTTGGACATTAGCTGTACATACCCCATGTATCCCTGTGTGCCAAAAATCAAGCATACCAACATCTCGGCACCCGAAACACCACAAGTTCCTTGGGAGGATCCTGGTGATCTTACTGGTACAAAAGCGCAAGGTATAGGACTACTACTACTACTACTATTGATTATTGTAGTAGTGGTAGTAGTGGTAGTGGTGGGGGGAACAGCAGCAGCAACAGCAGGAGTAGTAGTAGTAGTCGTCGTCGTCGTAGCAGCAGCGCAGCAGCAGCAATGGTAGTGGTAGTGGTAGTGGTAGTGGCAGTGGCAGTGGCAGTGGCGGCAGCGGCGGCGGTGGTCGTCGTCGTGGTCGTGGTGGTCGTCGTCGTCGTCGTCGTGGTGGTCGTGGTGGTCGTAGTGGTGGTGGTCGTGGTGGTCGTGGTGGTGGTGGTCGTGGTGGTCGTCGTCGTAGTATAGTAGTAGTGGTGGTCGTCGTCGTATAGTATAGTATAGTATAGTATAGTATAGTCTAGTCTAGTCTAGTCTAGTCTAGTCTAGTCTAGTCTAGTCTAGTCGTAGTAGTAGTAATAGTAGTAGTAGTAGTGGTGGTAGTAGTAGTAGTAGTGGTAGTGGTAGTGGTAGTGGTAGTAGTAGTAGTAGTAGTCGTCGTCGTCGTCGTAGTAGTAGTAGTAGTCGTCATCGTAGTAGTAGTAGTAGTAGTAGTGGTAGTAGTGGTAGTATTGGTGGTAGTGGTGGTAGTAGTAGTAGTAGTGGTAGTGGTAGTGGTAGTGGTAGTGGTAGTAGTGGTAGTGGCAGTAGTGGTAATGGTAGTAGTGGTAATGGTAGTGGTAATGGTAGTGGTAATGGTGGTGGTAGTGGCAGCGGCAACGGCAGCGGCAGCGGCAGTAGCTGCAGTAGCGGCAGTAGTAGTAGTAGTAGTAGTAGTCGTAGTGGTAGTGGTAGTGGTAGTGGAAGTGGTAGTAGTGGCAGTGGCAGTGGAAGTGGCAGTGGCAGTGGCAGTGGCAGTGGCAGTGGTAGTAGTAGTAGTAGTAGCAGTAGCAGTAGCAGTAGGAGTAGTAGTAGTGGTAGTGGTAGTGGTAGTGGTAGTGGTAGTAGTGGCAGTGGCAGTGGCAGTGGCAGTGGCAGTGGCAGTGGCAGTGGCAGTGGCAGTGGCAGTGGCAGTGGCAGTGGTAGTGGTAGTAGTAGTAGTAGTAGTAGTAGTTGTTGTTGTTGTCGTAGTAGTATACACTGCACAGTATGATACAGTACTGTATCGTGCATAGTAGTGAGCGGTTCAAGTTTGAGAGGTTCAGGACTTGTGCCTTGGGGTCTTCGGATCTCCTGTTCCCGGTGTTCGGATCTCCAGTGCCCCGGCTCGTGTTTAACAGGAGAATATGTGTGCCGTTCTACATCGTTCTACCCTCAAACTTAGACCCCCTACCACTGGATTTGAATCCGCCATCCCCCAAACCCTGCTGAAAAGCCCGACTCTTCCATGTGCCCAGCAAGACATGGCAAGCTTGCTAAAATCTGGGCCTGCAGTTTTGAAGTAGGTAATATGATGGCAAAGGCCTTGACTTGAACAAGGGCTATATACTACAGTACAACTTGCTAGTGACAGGAACATTCGGAGAGTCCCATGAAAGATCGAACTCCAAAGACCCGGGAACCATGAAAAAATTGTTTCGAAACATGAGAGATCGAACCAATCATCAATTGGTCATGTCTTCAGAACGCTCTCAACCTCTCGACCAGAAAAAGAACGACTTTGAAGATGACGACTTCGGGGCCACGGGGGATGACTATACATTGGGTCTACCCTATTGCCTGTAACAGTGGATGATGATGGCTAGTAAAGGCCTTGTCCAAAAATAGTTATAATTGTTTACTGACTGTAACAGGTAATAGGACAGACCCAAACTATACATGTGTCTCTTTCTGGATGACTAAACATGGCCTTCCCTTGACCCCACAGCAATGCACAACTGCATCGCCCCTCGCATCTCCGGCCATCGCTGGGGCCCCTGGCCATCCAGCAGCGCTAAAGAGTTGGCGCGAATCGCTTCGGCCAAGCCCTCATCCTGAAGCAGACAACTGTTGGGTGTGTTGCACAGTTGAAAACCAGGTATTTGTATTTGCTACACACTCTTGGGATCTCCCAAATCAACTGCAAGTGACTGCTAGGCACCAAACCCCGTATAAAATCAAAAAGTGTGGATGTCAGAGTTCTCTAGAAAGAAGGAGAAAGGCTCCACCAAAACCGACACCCAAACACACGATGGCGAAAAGGCACAAGTTTCACGCGCGCCATTGGATAGTTTCCTGCTACCACAGTAGGGATGATGATTCCGAGACCATCCATGTATGGCCTATTTACCTACATTGGCGCGGTTTCACGGACATGGATGGTCTGGGATGTCGCTTCGTCCGTCGCCTCCTCGTTCACCAGGAAGTGCACCAGGCCCAGCAAGTCCACCCGCGCCGAGGCGCTAGCATCCTGGCGGCGCTGGCGTGCTGGTTTCGTTTTGGGGGCGGTTCGGAGGAGTAAGCCCGGGGGGGTGACCGTTTTTCATACGATGAAAGTGGCTTGGAACACTTTGTGACATAGTTGAAATGGTTGAAGATGGTGTAGTTGTCTATCTGAATGCAGCTCTGTACCCACCTGTTAGAGACAGCTGGACAATCTGTCGAATACCAAACGAGTGGTGCAAGGGTGTCCAAGTTTGTCTGCTTGTGGGGTAGAAGTAAAGTAACAGTATCTACAAGTCACAAGTCACTAGACGGGCATCATTTAACAAAAACCTCCGTTCCAGTTCCATGTCAGATCTTTTCTCACGCGAGAAAACTCACTACTCAATCCAGGTACTAGTTTTGCTGCTCCGCAGCTTTTTGCTTCTCGAGTGCCCAGGGAAGGCGGTAACCAACCGAGGCTACATGGTGGGGTGGTGAGTCCCACCACCTGAGCAAATAGAGAAGTGTACCGAAAAGTGTTCTGCATTTAGTGCGCGCACTGCACGTTCATTTGACCTTGTGGTCTTGATCCCATTCAGTGCAAGAGTTGTCACATGTGGAGGCAAGCCCGTCGTGACACTTCAGTGTCTGATTGGTGCGAACGCAAGACTTCGCCCCAGCTGATCAACAGCATGAGCACGATAGTGTGCTTTTTGATTTCAACTTCAAGTCCTTGAACCAAGTGCTCACGTGAGAAAAAAAAAAAAAAACCATTACTCAGAGAAAGCAACTGTCCAGAAAAAATGTCATCAAGAATCTTGCTTGAGGATGTTTTTTCAGGCCCTCCTAGAGCAAAATGTCATCAAGAATCCTCAGAAACCGAGACTTCCGGACGACGTCTTTTTGACATCTTCGATGTTCATCGGTGTTCTCGGGAAAGAGGAGGACGTAAGCGTTCGCAGACGAGGGATAAGAAGGCCATTCCGAATGAAACGCTTTCCAAGAGACCGGAGCCCAAAGTGTTGGCAAATCAAAACAGTTGAAGAATGAACCCAACATCAAAATTGGAAAAAACTTCAACATCCAACATGTCCCACATTCCATGATTGGATTCAAATGTTGTTGAAGGAACCCAACATCCAAATATATCCAAATCAAATGGAATTTCCAACATCCCCACTGTCACCTTTGGCAATCCATCGCGTATGACATACGGTCATGCGCTCCCCAGCACTTGTGCTCACCTCTGAGCTTGCTTGACGCGCCAGCACTGGCATCAAACTGCCCACCTGCGAAAAAGAACTCACAAAAAGCATCAAAAAGCACTAAAAACTCTCAAAAGTATCAAGAAAGCACCAAGAAGTCACAAAAAGAAGGCCGAGTCCCGAGCTCACCTTTGGACAAAAGGTCGTGGGTCGCACCCCCGAGTACCCCAACAAGTCTTCACGACTGGTCCAGCTTCGAAATCTCAGTTTCCCTCTCTAGTTCAGACTACATGGAAGGCACCATCCTCAGAACCAAAGCCGAAATCTTGAAGATCTCTGGATGTCTATCCAACTGATTCAGCTGCAGTGCAGGAGTTCTTAGGGGCCAAAACTGTCCTTTCGGGTGGCGTCCACTTCTGGGAAAAGGTGCCAAGCATAAGACAACCACCAACCAATCGAGAGAGAGAGAGGGAGAGAGTGGCGTTGGACTCCATGCTGTTCGAACAAAAGGTGCAGCTTCTTTATGGAGCCTTGCGGTTCCTGCTTGTCGTTTCTACGTAGGCTTTCATCTCAAGTGGAGTCGAATGTTGAAAGCAAGATCTCGAAAGAATAACCCGGTAGCTGAGGTGAACACTGATGGAATGCATTCATTGGGTCTGCTGAGATTCAAGTCACACCTCTGGGCCGAGGTCCTGGCATGCTCAGCGACAGCAGCACCGGAATTCCGCAGCCTGAGTGACGTGTCGAGTCCTGCATGGTTCCTTTTTCCAAAGCCAAACTTACACTCCCTGAACTAATCCATGGTTACATGGATGGCATGGCCCCAGAAGACTCGGATGACCATCCATTGAACCCACTCGAGCACCCAAATCCCAGTCGCGCCATCACTCCAGATCCGATGTCAGGGCGTGATGGCGTGAGTCTACTCGATGGCATTCGCGGACGAAGTCCTGGGCCTTTCAAAATACACTGGGATCCACTTTGAAGATCACTTCCTCCCCCGGCATATGTTCCCTCCCCTTTTGCAGGCGACGCACGGTTGAACCATCTTACCGCCCCAAGCCTCCCCGCGTTTCAATTGCTATAGAAGAACTCGCAGTTCTTCTTTCACACGAAACAAGTCTCTCAGGACCCGAGCAAGGTCTCCAGGATGTGGCGGTTGGGACTGGTGTCCTGCGCTCCGACCGTGGCCACGGGCGTCGCCGAAGCGGAGTCTGAAGACGACCGGCCGGCGACGGGTGGTTTTTCGGGGTCGGAGGATGGTAGATGATGGTGGATCTAGGCCGGACGGCGGTCCCAGACAGGGAGCGTTTGGGAGTCCATTAAATGATGGTCAATAATCAATGGTGTGGCGCTAGTGGTTCACACACCTGGGTCGATCAAAACACGAGGGTATTGAAGCGCCACACGCCAAGAAAGCACGGCACATGGACCGATTCATGTGTTCATGTGCCGGTTTTTGGGTGATCCATGGTCAACTGACTCCCCAAAAGCCTTTTCCCAAAAAGATTGCCAACTCAAGCTCCTCTGGTGGTCGAAAAACAAGTAAGAAGCAGGGGGTGGAGACACCGGTGTTGCTTCTCCACCAACGAAGCTGGCAATACCCGGTGAGGATATCAGTTCCGGACGCGGAACTGACGTGCCTGCAGCACATGTTGGAACTATTTTCAAGCTGTCCACTACGGTGCTTTGCAGTAAGCGGCTAATGAGTGCTGTTAAACATGTCTGTTGTTCCGGACTTCTTCACCTTTCCGTTCCCTCAGCCAAGGTCTAATTGCGTGTAAAGGTCTAATTGCAGTAAAGTGGGCCTTTGTCAACTGATTCAGCTCTTGCGAGCATCAATCTAAGTGTGTGTGTCACTCCCTGCTTCGAAGGGATACACATCACTTTACTCTTGCTCTAACCTAGTATGTTCTTCCTGTCTTGCTTTAGCTTGAATCCATTTGTAGCAGGGAGCAGGAGCACCATCGCAAGTCTCCTGCCAACGAAGACACTTGCACAATCGGTGGTGAAACCAGATCTGATCAATCTGGCGTACCTGCATGGTTGTGATGTTCTCCAAGCTGTTTTACCCCACTTGTCCATAAAGGGCTAGTGCGCTTTGTTGAAACATTATTTTCCTCCGACTCACTGCCATACCGTTATTCAGCCAAGGTCTACTTGCATTACAGGTCTAATTGCAGTAAAGTGGAAATCACTAACTGACGCTATGCTCTTGCGAACCATCTATCTAAGTGTGTGTGTGTGTTGGCTTTGATGTCTTCTCATCGATCAGTTGCAAGTGCGTGAAGGGTGAGGTCAGAACCCCTGGAGAGTCACAGACTATAAAAAGAAGTGTCTTTGGATGATCCGAAAGGAATTTCTGTTACTTCAGTCGGTCAAAACAAAGTCAAAAGGACTTTAGGGAGAAAGTTCCTGGCCCCGGGCCCACGATTTATTTATTGCCAAGTGCAGAGCTCCACATTCGAAACTCTCTCAACAAACGATGGAAAGTGCTGTCTATGGCCCCAACAAGAGAGGGAAAGACCTTGCTGACCAATCATGCAGCTCCGAGGAAAAGAGCTTTGCTAAATGTTGTGTTTCTCATTATGGTCTATTCCTGTTGTCATCATCGTGGAGATACCTTGCAATGCTTGTGCGCGCCAGAAATTCCCACTACTAAACACAGGCTGTAGTACAGCTTTACAGAAAAAACTGAATCTTTGGCAGGCACAAACGAATCGTGTTGGGGCTGTGTTTCACATTAGAAAAGACAACAGTTTTGGGTGATCTAAGGATGTGAATGCTCATCAAACCCACGTCCATCTCCTCCCAAAGAACCGCATCTGCACCCTGTAGCAAATCGCCCAAGCGGCTCCTGTGACAGATCACGCGGCCCCTGTGGGTGGGGATAAATTCCATGAAATTCCCAACTCCCAAGCACCATAAACTTGGGTTTGCAGTGCTTAGGAGGTGCAGGGGAAGAATCATTTTACTAAATACTCCCACGTGAAGGGGAGGGCACCGAACTGGGAACATCAAAGTCACCCTTTCTCTGCAAGAAGCCAGGTAAAACTCAGTGAATCTCTTTTCAGATCCGTTCAGTTGGCAGCAAGCATCAACCCGTCATCTTTCGTCCCCTCTTCCATTGGCTTTTCCCCGTGCCATGCCACACATCCGCAGCCAGATGCCCAGGTTTGCGTGGGTGCTTTGCGTGTTTCTCGGGGTTGTGACCTGATTTTCGGGACTCTCCAGTCGACTATTGGAGTCCAAATCCACACAACAAGCTTTCCTTCGGGTCTGGAGCCGACCTCAGCTCTCAGTGGCACCCGTCTCTCGTCCGCTCAATTCCGTCCGTGGGTCGCGTCGGATCGAACGTCTCCGGCCGCGTCAACGGCGGAAACCACGCGCACCAACAAAGACACCAAGAGAGGTCGAGAGACCTGAACGTTCGGACCCTGTAGTGGTACATGGATGGGCGACAAAGGGCTCTTCAACCTCTCTAGGCCCCTAGGCATGGAACATCATGGAACCTTTTAGGAAGGGCGTCAGGAAAGAGACGCCACCGCACTGACCCGTGGGCCCTGGGAACGAGGGTGAACGAGGGTTTTTTCGGGTGTCTCGGTCCAGTCCCCCTCCTTTCGGTTTCAGAGGAGACGAGTCAACATAGACTCCCCCGACCTTCGAAGGGAAAAGGATGGAAAAGGGGCGCCCAAGCATCGGCTCCTCAAGTGCTGCTCATAGAGCTGCAGCTGCGACCTCCCAAGCGCTGCAGCGGAGGCACCGTTAAGACCGTTGGAGATTAGAACGTGTTGGAAAACTTCGCCCGGGCCCAAATGGAAACTTTGCCAAAAAACTTGGACAAAAAGAACCATCTTGGCCAAACAGGAAACGTGGAACGTTTCTACCAAGAAGCAATCACATGGACTGAATACGGTTTGTGACTTGATCACTGAATACAGTGATCAAAGAGCAGTTTGTGCGTCGTCTACCGTATTCAGCTCTTCTCACCTCCTCCCCTCCGTCCCAGCACATGCGGGGGTGCGCCGGTAGCGCTTCGCACCGGGTGCGCGGTAGCGCACCGACCCAAGAGTTGCGCGAGGTGTTCGATGTTGGCGTCCACGGTCTTCGCGTTGCACTCCTCACCGAGGTGTCAAAGACAACACGGGTGGCAGGAGGTCATTGGAGGTCATTGGTCGTTCTACTTGGGGGGTGAAGTCCCACCCGGAATGCCAAAACACCTGGAGGAGATGTTGGATTTCTAGATGGATATGTTGGTCGTCTTTGGCTGTCTTTGGCACCACTGGAAAAAAAAGAGCGCTTTTCGCTCACCGCACCCTCGCACTTGTAGGACTGAAACAAGGAATTCTCCGTCCAAGCTCGCCCGGACCGACGGTCGCCCGGTCCTGTCACCCGGTCGTCCAACCACCGTTTCCTGACTGGACTCGTGGTCCTGAAGATCGGTGTATACTGAAGTCGAACCAGCCTGAATCCCGAACCACCAGCTGTTTTATTGGATTTTATACGACAAAGCCAGAGCGTTCCCATGTTAAAAATGGTCCACTTGACTTCCAGGGTATATGTGTGTATGAAAAACTGGGACCGGGATGGTCAAATACACCCCCACATGGCGGTCGAAATACCCACCGAGCAGGACCGAAAAACATGCCCGTCGGTCGTTCCGCCTCGGACCAGGGCTGTTTTGACCCATGGCCCATGGCAATTAGACCCTGATTTAAAGAAGAAAGGATCTACTTTCATTCTATTTGGGGATGTTTCTGACCAAAAATGTCTTGGACACCATGACACCGTCTCATTTCTATTTGGGGATCGCTTTCTTTTGGAACGACCTCTGACGTCGCGACGCTCATTCTGACGCTCATTCTGACGCCTGGATCCGAGGGTCCTTGAAGCAAACCCTTTTTCGACACAGGTTGCAAAGGTCCTAAAAAATATCTTGAAAAGGTACACTAAGCCGGTCTAGTCTGCTCAAATGAGCTGATGGGTCTGCGCATGGGGTGAGTGCTCACATCTCAAAACGGAACGCGCGTTCCAAGACCAGTCCTGCCACTTGCATCACCTCCCGTCATCTCCCCAAATGCGGCTGTCTTGTCTTCGCCGCTGTCTTGCTGTCTTCGCAGTGTTAGTCAGGTAGGCTCGCGAAAAAGGCACTCGTCAGGCGATGAAGACATGATGTCTCACATGGCTGTGGGTCAGGGCACCAGACCGGACACCCGGGCACGACCACCACCTGGTGGAAGGCCCAACGACCAACGTTCGATGGTGGACCGCGGGCTCGTTCGGTGCCACCCATCGCCACATGGGGTTGGGTCATGGCACCCGCATGGTTCACCATCGAAAATGACCAGAGTCTATACCAAATGTCAACCTACCATGGTATGTAGAGACCCACGGCCAGGCTCGCAGAAACCGATGGACTGTCATGGCACTCGACATCAACGACGTGACGAATGTTTCGAGACGAAGCGTGACCGTTCGCGTTCGACGCTCCTCTCCGCTCTTCATGCGTAGAAGCAGATCGAAGACCCTGGGCCACTCATCGATGCAAGCGTCTTGGCCTGGGGCGAAAGAGCAAAGCAAACAAAAAGGTATAGTATAATTGTTGGAAAAGCATAGCAAAAAACAAGCAAAAAAGAAACATAGAACGATCAGACACTTAAAAACAGATTCTGAGACTCTCTTCTGCCACCCCCCATCAAAAAACTTGTCAAATATTGTTTGTATACTGTAATTGTTGTATTTTTATGTTTGTTTGATTTTCTGAGAATTTTGGATGCCCCCCCTAAAGACTCCTGGAAACATTATTTGTTGGTGTTTTTTGAGGTGTTGTTGGTGCTGGGCAAACACGGACCTGCACCATGCAGACCTCTAGCCCAGGTTTGGGATCTGACTTCAAGCCTAAGTCTTGGAAGCCCGCCTCTGTGCAAAGAAAGGCTTATATAGACGTTTGAACCTGTGCAAAGTACGGCTGAAAAATAGTCCTCCTTTAATAGAGTGCGTCTTCCAGAAGCACACCTGTTGCAGATCTAGTGGCTTCGCGTCCCTGGTATGAGACCCTGATGTCCTCTTTAGCGTTTGTCCCTTTGTGGACTGCAAACCCTGGGTACCCTGGGCGCGGAGCTGGTGAGGTGCGAAGCCACTAGGCTCACAGCCAGTGTTCTTCTGGAAGACACACTTTATTAAACATCCCGGTGGCATCCGGGTGGTTTCTCAACCAGGAGCTTCCTGGTAACCAGTTCCTTAGACTTTTCGATAGATAACGTAATATGAAACACATCTAAGGATTTCGTAGTCTTTTGAAGAGTATGTTTCCCTTCCTTCCGTTGTGTTTCTTTATAACAATAGTTTTCAGCTGTGTAACGAGTGGATATCGAAAAGCTATCGCTTTAAAGGCCTTCACATTTAATTTGTAGGCGCACGCTAGACTCTGTGGAACCTATGCCTACTACATACAAGCATTCTACAAGTCTACCTTCTCCGAGACCTTCCTGTATCATACGCTGTTATTCTGCTTTCTGGAAATTTCATCCTTGATCAGATTCTGATTGCATAGAAATGCAACCCACCTTATCCAGAACCTCCTCGAATTTACAAGGCAATTGTCCATTCTCCATGTCTTGCCATGTTCATTCTTCACGTTGACTGCATAAATGCATCTACATGGCACGGTGTCCATTATGGAGGACCCTAAATCTTCATGTTACAAAAGGTTACTGTTCCTTTGTAAGGATCACAACTTGCGAAGTTTGCATCTGCACAGGTGGTTCCAACCAATTCCTGCACGTGTAAAAAGGCATGTTCGAGGTCTGCATCTGCCATCCTGAGATCTTGCCCGTTCTTTTCAAAGAAACACCGTTCGGAAGGTTTTGAAGCATCTGCAGACCGCACGCTCGCTACATCCCTACCAACGCCCGCTCTCATGAACCGTTCGTTTTGTCCCGTTCGGCCGTCCAGCGCGTTGTTCCCGTTTCGGTGGTAGCCCGGGCTACCCCCCGGCGTGGTAGAGGCGAGGCGTTGGATGGCGTTGGATGGCGGTTGGAAGTGGTTCCCAGAAGCAGTTGTTCCCTATGGCCCTTATGGCTCCTCCAATCACCTCCCCAGGTTCAGTAGTGGTTGGGGTGCGTTGGTGCCAGAGGGGGTCTGTGCTTTTCGAACCTGAGGATGTGGGACAGGAGCCCTATGGAGCCTTTGTGCCTTCAACGGAGAGTTGCCTGGTTGTCTAATCAAGTTCTTCTCCATTTCTTCCGAGAGAATCAGAAGTTGAAGGTCCGATGGATTGATCCACCCACCCGGCAATTGGTGGACTATTGAATACTTTTTGAATAGGGACAGCACAGCAGCTTGCAAAGATGCTTGCCTCCCAGCTATTCTGTTGGGTTCATAAAGAAACATGCCCTCCCAGCTACAGCAATTGCCAGTAGTCACTAGTCTAGGGCGTGCTTATTTCTCAGGAGAGTTCTTCTTCCCCTCCAAAACAAAGAAAAAAGGCCCCTATGGCCCCCATGGCCCAAACGTACTTCTTTGATGGCCCAAATTAGGCGAAGGGTCAAAAATGCTTTGAACCTTTGGGACTTCTCATGATGGATTCATCCCCTCACATCCCTTAAACATCCCCTCATGATCTTGACAAAAGATCCTGCAAGCACTGCTTTCGGTCGCGGCCTGCGTTCAAGAGCGCTTCAGTGGCAGCCAGGACGGCCGGCAAGAGCTCGCTCCGCACGCCCTCCTGGGCCGACTTTGGGGAACCAACGAAATGCTGCAAGGCATTCAGCACGGGGGAGAGAAAAAGGACCTCTGTCTTTGTTTTTAGGATCAAAGGGAGCACACCAGCCTGAAACAACCGAAACAACCTACGTCTCATGTGGAGGTTAGGGCTCAATTCAGCTCACAATGGAGGTTGGTGCCAGTGGCGTGCTAAACAAACTCCTGCACCACACCTGAAAGCCATACATTGCTCTTTTCAATTCGCTCTCCTTCGTCTTGAACAACAGTGTGCAGGTCTCCTTATGTTCGAAGAACTTCTTTAAAGAATACTTACTATATAAGACTAGGTCAACGATGTATGTCGTGTTCATATCAGTAAAATCCCCAAAAAAGCCAAACTTATAAATGAACATTGCCATGGATGTCCATTTCTTCTCTCCCATGTCGGGCCTCCAAGAAGCGCAGCGCCAACTTCACCTCCGAGGCCGTCAAGGGCCGCCGGAAGCTGCCCGAGCTGCCCGACGTCCTCGCGAACGGGGGGACCCGGGCGACCGACGTCCGAGCGGAGCGGAGCGACAGCTGTGGATTGACAGTACCTGTTTACAGGGGTCAATCACCATGCCAGGCACATAGGGGGTGTTTGAAAAGGGGTCAATGTAGGCAGATATACATATATATATATTATATATGTATAATATATATAATACATATATATATATATTATACAATATATTCCATACATGGGGTTACGACATCTTTGGGGTCGGCCCTATCTGTCACTACTTTCTGGTACCGAACGTCGCGGGGCTTCGGCTTCAAACGTTCGCGGGGTCCTCAATTGTGGCATAGGATCGTGTAGGATGGTGTCAGGAGCCCCTAGCTAGCGTCCTTGTTCCTAGTAGTACGGCCTGGAGCCCCTAGTAGCGTCCTTGCTCCTAGTAGCGATGCCAGGAGCCCCTAGGTGATCAAGATGGATGATGAATGGATTCTAGTAGACCCCCAAATTGAAAAGTAGAATTCTTTTCCAAAATGTCTCGGAAACCAGGATCCCCGGCGGATGAAGCAAGCGCGCCAGCACGATGAAGACTTGACGCCTGGACTCCGCCTGAGGACGAAGCGTACGGCCGACGCTGACCGGCGCTGACGCTGACGAGGCTAGTTGTTGCGTGCAGCACAAGGCTTCAGGTGATGAAGTGGTGATTTGTGAAGTCAAAGTTTAAGCAAGATGATTTGCTTTCTATACAGCTTCAGTGAACAAAGTGTCGATCTCTTCGGTTTCAGGTGATTTGTTGTGTGATCCCGTGAGAGGTTATTCTTGATCCCCAGCTGGGGCATGTGGACTCCAATTCGGATGTCATGGACTTGTCTTCTAGACTCGTCTTCTGGGTCTTTGATTCATTGGGAATCATGAAAAAGCCTATGAAATGGGTCTATCCTATTACCAGCAACAGTGGATGATGATGGTTACTAAAGGCCTTTCTCTAGAGAATGATGATTGTTTACTGGCTGTTGCAAGTAATAGGACAGACCCAACCTATGAGACACTTGAGGACTTGAGGACCGCTAATCCTGCTGCGGAGAGCTGGTTTAACAAATGGTTGCAAAGGGCATCTCTCGTGCTCAGCAAAGCTCTATATAAACAAGTCTTCGACACTGTGCTGTATGACAATCCCTCTGAGGTGGTGAATGTTCAGGCACAGCTGCATCCAACGTCTGACGCAGTAGTGCCGAACGTTCGTCCAAGCAAAGCAACCAAGCAACGAACGTCAAGTGGACAAGCAAATGCTTAGATTCTACCAGTAAGTCCTTCACAGAACATACTTTTGCAAATGCAAAAAAGATCCATGAAACTCATAGCTCCACCAAAAACACTTCGGAAGTTCTTTCACACCCTCAGTCCGGATGGCACCACTCGTGCTGTTCAGTTCGAAAGGGTTGTGACCTCTGAAACATCGGCCCGTCCAGGAAGTGGAAGACCCGCTTGGACAGGGCCACGCGTGGATGCAGCACGTGTCCACGCGGGCTCAACGTCAAGTCCTACAGACAGTCCTTTGCTCTGAGGGAAAATGGAAATCAGACGAAGATGGAGCGTGAGGGTGACATTGTGAGCGCAATCCTGTGCAACGTCATATTGTTGTCTTTGTTCTGTCGCATTTTGCGTTTTCAGACGCAGCTGCAAAGGTTCCAACGCCCGATCAACCTTAGGCGGCGTTTCTCTTTGCATCTGGTGGTGATGGGCAAGGAACGCTTCTCACAGTGCAAGTCACATCGAACTCGATCACAAACAGATCCTATCACCATCCAACTCTGTTCTGTGAACGGATGCACTGGCTGCGTGTGTCTCATCGACCGCGGAGATCGACCGCAGAGATCGTGACCGTGACCTGCGGTGGAAACAGCACTTCGCTCAAAGCCCCAAGAGCTGCGCAGAGCTGCGCAGAGCTGCGCAGAGCATCCGCTGGCCAAAACAACCGCTCTTCTTCAGCAAATTGCTTTTCAACATGCAGTAGTAGTAGTAGTAGTAG